CCCCGCTGCCCCGGGCGCCCAGGCCTCGCCCCCCTGGCCGCCGGGCACCTCCTCCGGGCAGCCGCCCTCCCTCACGTGGCAGGCTCCGCGCTAAACACCACTGCAATCACTACAATAAAAAGGGGGGGGGAAATAAAGGGAGTCGGAGAAACACAAAGCGTACTTAAACAGGCGCTTCCTCTTTCCGCAGAAATGAAGCCCGAGATTGCCAGATTTCTTTTTTTTTATTTTACAATTTTATAAAACATCAGCCTTCTCCTGCTCCCTCTGCTCGCCCGGGCGCAGCCCCCCGAGTGGCCTGGCGCCCGTCCCCTCTCTCTCCTCCAGCCCCTTGGCTGAGTCTTTGTCTGGCCCCAGCCCCGCGGGGGCCCCAAGTCCCTGTGCCCTCGGGGGTCCCTAGAAGGCGACAATGGCTCGAGTCCAGGCGCCGAGGCTGGCGAGCGCCTGCTTGGCGCACAGCTGCCCGTTGAGCGGCGGCGGCTGCTCGGCGGAGTCCGGCTGTCGGCTCACCAGCCCGGAGAAGCCCGAGCCAAAGATGGAGATCAAGTTTGAGATGTTGGACGCGTCCGGGGACGAGTCCGGGCAGAAGTCCTCGAAGCGAGCGCGTTTGCAGGGGGCGAACGGGGCGCCCCCGGGGGGCTCGGCCCCTAGGTCGCCCGCGTCCGCCTCGTCGTCGTCGTCCTCTTCCTCCGGGCCGGGGTAATACTTGCGTTTGCAGCCCGCGGCGGGCGCCAGGCCGGGTCCCGGGGCGCCCTGGCCACAGCAGGGGCAGTGGGCGGAGGCGCAGCAGTCCTGGTGCAAATAGCCGTTCTCCACCGTGGTCACCACGTGAGTGTCCAGGTCCAGCACGGTGGTCTGGCTGCTGCAGTGCACGCCGAAGTCCGAGGGGGCCGGGTACGCGCCCCGGTAGAAGCCAGGGGAGGAGGCGGGAGCAGGAGAGGCGGGCGGGGAGGCGGCAGCGGCAGCCGGAGAGGCGGCCCCCGGGGGCGCGGAGGGCGAGGAGCAGGCGG